GTAGTAGGTAGTAGGTAGTAGTAGGTAGTAGGTAGTAGGTAGTAGTAGGTATAGCAGTAGGTATAGTAGTAGGTAGTAGTAGGTAGTAGTAGGTAGTAGGTACTAGGTACTAGGTACTAGGTGGTAGTAGTAGTAGTAGTAGTAGTCACAACAAGTTTAAACAAGCACAAAGAAAAGGCCAGGGACACAGGATCAAATTGATAGGGGGTAGTAGTGCAGATTATTGATGGGCGACCGGCCCTTGTGAGGGGTACCCTTTGTGAGCTTGTCAAATGATTGTTTTTAATTGTTTTTTAATAAGGCAATTTATAGGCCCTGAGCCCTAGACATTTTTAAGGATTTCATCAAACATGTAGTAGGTAGTAGGTGGTGATGGTCGTGGTGGTGGTGGTGTTGGTCGTGGTAGTAGCAGTAGCAGTAGCAGCAGCAGCAGAAGCAGCAGCAGCAATAGCTAGTAGCAGTAGCAGGAGCAGCAGCAGCAGCAGGAGGAGTAGTAGTAGAAGTAGCAGTAGCAGTAGCAGTAGCAGCAGCAGCAGCAGGAGTAGTAGTAGTAGTAGTAGTACGAAAAATTGACCTGGTTGTGGGCTCGGATTAACTGGGGGGGATTGTTGGTAGAAAACTAGACCATAGGGGGGGAAATCAACAGCCAATAATACTTTTAATTTGGGCAATTTCCGCGGCGTCGTGGGCTCGGATTTAACTAGGGGGGATTTATTAATCCTAACTTGACATTATACGCCATGTTCTGGTTTAGGGTCAAGTGAGAGTCTTGGATAAACCGCCGATATAAACGTTGATCTCCCGATTTCGATGAACAGCCTAGCTTTAAACTGCCTCCATGAGCCAAGACTTGTTGTGGGTCTTTCTTGCGCCGTACATCCCAGCTAGTGGAATATGGCTTGCCATTGGGCAGCCCTCCGCGAGATGTTTTTGCTGGCCAGAACCAGTCTGTTAAACGATGTGCGGCGCACGCTGGGGAGGGATGTCGATGTGCGAGAAATCATTTTTTCATGCTGGTTTTTGTTTCTTGGGTTGACTCAAGGCTCCCTGTGAACCTGGGTATGGCCTACCAGGTTACACAGAGGATGACCGGCCACAGCTTTTGTTTGGGTGTTTGTTCACTAGTTTACTAAGTTACCAGGACGCAGGTGTTTGAACCACGATATGATTCAAATGAACCCTCTATAGAGCTTTACAGCCATTGTTGTGTACTAAAGGGAACCCTTGATAGGGCCTGAGATGAATCGTTAGCTGCACATCGATTGTGCAGCTCGTGGACTGAAGGATCTTCCCACGTTCCCACCTGGACACGCAGCAACGCACCGGACAAACGGGACGGCGGTTCGCCCGCACGGGACGGCGAACGCATGGTTGGTCCTTCCGAGTCGGGAGGCCACGAAATCTGAAGACCAAACAGGGATTGTTCACTTCCGTGTTTGTTGGGAGGGAGGGCCAGGGAGGGCCAGGAAGGGCCACGGTATCTTGTTTGTTTGTATTTGGATCAGGAGAAGACACCACGAGTGCTACTCGTAGCCGTTCTTGATTTGATCAAGAAGGACTACTATCAGCAAGAAGGATTACTGGCATACTGTTTATCTTTGTTTATGAATATGTATTTGTTTTATATGTGTGTTCTATGTTCCTTTTGATGTAATGTTTACTGATCACATTAGAGCACTGGATCCTTACAAGCCACCAAGGACAGAGTGGTTGCACATCGTGGCTATGCTATCTGCAATAAAGAAAACACGATCTGGTGACAATATGGGATACATTGGGTCTGTCCTATTACCTGTAACAAGTCAGTAAACCAAGCAAAGCCACTAGAACCCTTAAAAACATTTAAAAACAAGCCCTGGAACCCCCCACCATCCTCCAAAACGAGCCCTGATAATTGGATTCTTCCATCCGGGATACACTGACGGACTGTTCAGCTCTTTCCCGCGACGGATCCTGGACGCTTCCGATCCGAACTGCGCCATGAACCCTTGACGACGCGGCGCCACCGCTGCGTCCTCGCGCTCGCCGCGTGCGTGGACCGGGCGAAGGATGTCGCTGGGACGGAAGAATCGGTGGAAGGGAACGGCAGAACCATCGATGTTTCATCCGAAAGACGGTGCTACTCGGTGGAAGCAGTGGGGAGAAAGGACCAGATGGTTCGGTTCATGTGGTCGTTTCATTCGTTGGTGTCCCCACTTTCCCACGTTCCGACGGCCTTTCAGATCCACATGGTACACTCGGTGCGCAGGACCGAGATCCCCCACCCGGTCCCCCCAAAAAGGGACCCGTCACCGGTGAAGGCAAGAGGTCACGGCACACCGAACGAACAGGCTCACAGCGGCATGCTGTGCTGCGATGACAAGTCGTAGACTACTTATAGGACCCGACTGGGGTACCTATGGGATAGTCTATGAGGTTCAGGGTTGACAGAATGTGTTGTGGAGGTCGAGACTCACATGTGCTGCTTTTTTTCGTACGTTGTTGTTTCCACTAATTTTCTTCACTCTTTCAGGCTCGCCAACCAGGACACGCATCGAGTACGCTGCAGGCTCGTGGAGTACGCTGCACTGGCCTTGCCGCTGCTCGCTCTCATTCTGCTGGCCACCAGGATTTTGTGGTGTCAAGCTCAGTCATTGCCCATTAATATTTTCCGTGCCTGTTCAGAACCTAGGGACAAAAACAGACAAACCCTTCTATCCTGAATCCTGTCTTCAGTAGCAGCCAGGATCACAGGTGAAGATACACAAGCTAGGCCGGCTAAGCCCTATGTTTCACCTAAAATAGACATATAAACATATATATATATACATACAGTGTCGTACAGTGACGGATATCAGTTTTATCTATCCAGGTGATATCAAAAATGTTACTGTCGACGAAACCTTGCGACCAGCCCATGACTCATGACACTCGCAATATTTTTGGAGGAATCGGTATAGAAGGTTCCTGACAAAACCCTGACCCTCAACCGGGCGTTCTCTTGTGCGAAACACAACTGCCCAGATACAAACAGTTGGCAAAGCGATTTGTTTTCATGAGCTGTCATCTCACTAGCGCTGATTGCAAGTTTATCTCAATTTGGCATTTGCAGTCAGTACTTTCGGCAGCAGTTCCTTGCACCCAGTTTGCCATGAAGGAGCACAAAGTACAAAACGTCGGCATACTTAGTTCATGGGCGTGTGGAAATGCAGCTGTGAGCAAAGGCTTTGGTTTGAGCATCCTACATGTTAAGTTGTCCGACAGTGTCTTGTGAGTGGAAATCGAATTACGGCGCCTACTACCTGACTTCGACTCCGCGCTGACCCAAGGGATTGTCAAAAATGGTATGTTCTTGGCATCCCATGCACCGTTGGCCGGGTGCAAGCGCCAGGTCACTTTGTGTCCTTTTGGCCAACCCATCGCGATGAAAACATCGAGATGGATGACAGCAAGGCAAATGGGCTAAAGCGCTTGCTGGGGACACGCGAAGCAAGCCATGCTTTCCAAGAGTATCGAGGGGAGCCTTCGTATTGGCTGTGCTGAGGAGTGACTGAAAAGGGGAGGCCAATCATCCAAGGAGGCGGCCTCAGTTCTTGCACCGGCTCCACCGCCATGCTCGCTCGTGTTGGCCTACCGGTCCTGAAGAGGATTGCTCGCGTTCGCGCTCGCCACCGGTGGCTCAGAGCGCAAGCGAACGCATCGACCACGGTCGAGTGATTCCAACCGTTGCACAGCACAGCGGCAATGAAGCCGTTTCGCCGCGACACAAGGAACGGACCGGTGGTCGGATTCGGTTGGAAAGTGCTTTTCTAAAAATAGTGTTCAGTATAGACTGTATCATAGTAATTAGTCATGCATGTATAGTACTTCTGCAGAAAGAGTTATATAGCGACTTGAAGTGAGTGCGTGCCCGGGCGCGGAATTGCATGTATTTCGTTGTGAAGAATGCACACAAACGAGCACGGAATAGTGGAGGAATGCAACTCAAAATGAACCTTGTTAAGAGGGCAACATAGTTCGAAAAAGGTGGAAGTGGAGTGGCCCTGCCATTTCAAGCTGCTGCAAGAAACTCTCAGAATTGTTTTTAACAGAAACTCTCTCAGGTAATCTCAGGTTCAATGTATGTGTTCGTGGGTGTATTCTTTCCAAATAGCAATCTCAAGATTTGCAAGATCTTGTAAGTTCTGGTGGGCTGAGCCAACTTAACGATGCAGTTTTGCGCCGTTTGCTGCGAGTATGATGATGTCTGATGGGCAAAAGAATGGCGAACTGTCTATTATAATGGCAATAAGTTGAGAATGAATGAGACTAAATGATCTGGCAGCATTCCAGCCAGAGAAATCTGGTTCTTGTGACAACCGGGAGAAGATTTGTCATTCCTCGAAACCCGAAACCGAAAGGGATGGGCTCTTGTTTGAAAGGTGGCTTGTGGCGCGCGTTTGGAGCAAGCGGAAGAGGCATGGTGAGGATTGGGTGGAATTTGTAGCCACGTATTAATATATTACATTATATTACATATTACATATGCTCGTATAATCGTTTATATAATATGCATACATTAACATTATACAATATCAACATGCACATATGGATGGCTAACGACTTACAGTATGGTACAGTACCCAAACAACTGGGACTGGACTATGTGCCTACATTGACCCTTCTTCAACCACCCCAAGTGAAAAACAAATATGCCAGTTCCATGGGTCGTGTTTGGGGATGGTAGCGGTCGGCGAAGATCCCGGTCGGCACTGCAGCGAGGATCGCCCGGACCCAGAACAGCTGTTTCAGTGGCACCTTCAAGAAGCCATAGCTGTTTCTACTTGACTCTTAATTGTACCGGGACCTTCCGTTTGGGGCGTCCAACTCCATATTGGACAACCCCACATGTTCCTAGTCCAGGATCATCTTGCTTGTTGAGATGAGCCAAGCATGGTTCAGATTTTCTTGGATCACAATGGGGAGGCCCAGGCCCTTCGGAGGAACAACTACCCCGTGCGAATCCGCAAACCGCAGGCGAAGCTGGGCTGGAACAGCGCAGTTGCGTGCTTGGGAAATGGGGCGCTGTGCGGCCGGTCAGACCGAATCAAGAGAGAAAGGCCTTTTTCAAGTTCGAAGATTTTCGATGGTCTAAGATCGTTGTAAGATGGCTGTAAGCATCGGGAAAGCCAAAGAGAGAAACCATCAGAAAACCAATATTATATATATATAGCATGTACAGTATATACATGATTTTTTAGAAGGTATCCGGGACACTCCATGTATGCCATATTTATACCTACATTGGGGTGGTCTTGGGGGTGGATGTAGGCATATATGCATCATGGAGTGTGTGGGTATTATATAGTCTCAAGTCACTGCCGAGGCTGCCGCTCCGCACGGCGGTGGTGCTGGGCTCCGGCGGCCACACCATGGAGAGACCGATCCATACGCCATGGGGGGAGATGGTTCCAGGTCGACCTTTGGGATATGTTGGGTGTGGATGCTACATTCATCTACATACACCATGAATTGGTGTTTGGGTGGATGATGGTGTATGTATTCCATTATTTGTTGTTAGTTTAAACACAAAACACCCATTATCGATATGGGATATTTTGGGGGATCGGTTTGTCTACCCCTTGTCCCCATCGTGTATTGTATTCTTTGAGATTTGTGTGGACGTCGTGGATTGAATCTCCCAACCTGTGAGTTGCGAAGCCTTGAGTTTAACATGTGAGGGAAACACACAGAAACACATTGTGTTGGGGTTGGGAGGGATTTGTGGACTATATGCATGATTTGGCCTGAAGTGACTTGCACAAATACAGCTCAACTAAAGAACAAACTTCAACTCCATAGGTTTGCCAAAGTATGTACCTTGGGCTTGGAGTAATAGTCTGTGTTTTTGTTCAGCCGGGGTCGACTTCCGAAATGCGGAGCGAGACGTCGGAAGTATAGTCTATTGCCACTTGTGGATCCGTGGTTTAATGAGTGACGGGCATTCAGCCAAGGCTGCACTGGTTGACACACCACTGGGTATATCCAGTTACAGTATACAGTTTGGACTGTTTGCAAGAAGAAGCCTGCGCTCACAATAGGGAGCATTTGTTGAATGACTTCCTCGCAAATGCGGTTGGATAGGCTGTGTGACTTACATACATGAGCAGATCGGGTTTTCAGGTATAGTTCAGCATTTGTTCATTCAACAGATGTGTTTCAGCACAATATTGATTTGCTCAGGGGTTGCTAGTGCTGCCAAGTCAAGCAAGCAGTTACAACCAGGGTCTCAGCCAGTCTCCTGGACCTAGCAATAGTGAGACACCGCTGTAGAAGTATGGGCATTTTTACCCTCGTTCTTCCACAAAGATGGAAGTTGTATGAAGTTGTTTGACAGTTAGACCAACCGATAAGACATGCCTGAGATTTTGGCATTCTTCCCACTCTACCCTTGTATCTATGAACCCATGTCTTCGTATCTTGCCCTATCAACCCATTGTATACCTGGGCGGCACGCCGCCACCACGTTGTCGCTTTGCCGGCGAGGAGATGTTGTCGCTCCTCAAAGAGGTGGATCAAGAGAGGCCGAGCGAACGATTAACAGACAGCGATGCCAAGCGAGCGGGGTGTACTCGTGGATGATGAAAGGACTGCAGAGTTCTCGCATGGAACGAGTATGAACGTACATGGACAGTTTGTTATTTTCAGTACTTTATCTTGAGGATGTTGAGGCTCAATATGTTTGATGATCTCAACAAGAATCCTGAGAACGATCCAATTAAACCGGTCTGTTGGTCTTGCAAACATTGCTTTTACCAGCACCAGGTATCGATGTGATTTCATCATGGCCCAGACAGACTCGAGCTCCCTGAAAAAGGCTGGAGAGAACTGAAGAGTCAGTGAGTCAAGCATGTCCCAACTTGCTGTGGGAATATGTGGGAAGCCACAAGAATCCCTTTGATGGTATATATCTATGTTGTACGATTTGGGAACACTGTTTTTTGTGAGGCCTACGGTCTATGTACTGCACCAGAATTTCTTTTTGAGACCGACTCAAGTCTTGCGCTACCGAAGGCAAACACGGTCAAGACGCTTGCGATGCTCCCACCTGCATATAGGATGTGAGAAGAGACACCTGAAATCGAGCACTGTGATGGAGGCATTGCATTGAATCCTCAGGTTTCACAGCTTCAAGCTGCCCAGCTCTAAAACTTCAAGTCGATCTATGAAATAAAAGCCCAAAAGCCGGCGGCTTTCGAATTTCCGCATGATTTGGCTGCCTGTTTGTTCCGTTTGACGCACATTTTCAGGTGCAAGCCACGCGGCCGGACCTCGCGAAGGACCTCACGCGTTTCCACGTGATCCCACGCAGCCGCGAGGTGCCCCAACCAGGATTCCGGGTTGGAAGATGGATGATGGTCATGTTTGATAGGATCTTTTCTTGGCACCTCCTTTCCAGGATTCCGTGTCTTTTCTTCAGATCCCTTCCATAGACGTCAGATGTTCTTCCCAACAAGAACGCCGTGCAGTGCGGGCCTGACCCGGACCCACTGACCCGGACCTGCGCTCCACATCCAGAAAGGGCGCGATCGCTGGAGGTGGGCCAGTCCTGGAGCTCCTCGCTGCTCACGACCGCTCAGGCGACGTCCGAGCGAAAGAGAAAGGGCGAAAGAGAAACGTCGCCAGGGGCGGGAGTGGCCGTTTCGTGCGGAATTTGCTGGTGTTGCTTTTGTGGAGCTCGTAGTAGTTACAATCAGTGGCCTGAGTTTTAGGCACTGTTTGGATTGGAGCGATACTGGTAGTTAAGTTTTTTTGATAGGCCTATGTGAGCTTGGCTGTTGACAGAAGGAACCATCGAAATGAGTGAGTGTTGCTACCAGGGGCAGACCAGATTCAGAATAAGTTGGATCCATGCACGGTACCAGCACGGGTTTTGCTAAGTCAGTCAGTTACACAACAGCATTTGGAGTGTAACTATGCGAAGGAAAAATGTACCTTCCAACGACCGCTTTCCCGTACAAAAGGTGTGTTGCATGAATTAAAACGTCGAAGAGTTACGTAGTTTGTTGCCGACCAGATGACAAAATTCCATGACATACCAAATACATCCAAATACATATTATAGGCTAGGGATAGGGTTCAAACATGTTCAAGCGTTCCTTTGTGAAGCATTGGATTTGGGGACCAATTTGTATTTATATACCCCCCAAAATACCCCGTATGTGGGGCCCATTGACAATCAATAGCATCAACATGTCATCTGGGGTGGTCAGTCTGTTCGCCGATTCCGAAGCGGCAGCCTCGAAACGAAGTCTGTTCTACCCATTTCTCTCCATTGGGGTTTCGAGCATGCTTCACAAAGCCAGACGTTTTGACGTCCGCTCCTAGAAAAGACTCGCCTTTAGGCCTTCCTTGCTTGCCTTGGACTCGTCTGGGAGTTGAATCCCCAGGCGGGTTTGGGCCAGGGGATTTGAACTGAGGAAAAGAACTTGGTCACCTTTTTGGAAACATTCCAACTGTGAAGTGGGCAAAAGGTATGGCTTTTTTTCTCAATCCATGCCTGACAGGGAAGATGATCACCACCGTCCTCTCTGTCGATCTCTGGGTCGTTGTTTCAGTCAGACGTTTGGACAGTTTCAGCAGGACAGTGGGTGGTCTTAGAGATGTCCGTGAGATCCACCAAATGAGTCCAATGTTCATGCTTCACAAGTCGTCATCCAAAAAATTGATTAAACATGATTAAACATCATGAACATATGAAGGGAGTCCTATCGATACTTTTTGCGGGGATGCCTTTTGCCAGTGAATCAGATGTTTTTGTGCATATTTTTGAGGCTCTCCTGGAACTCGTTGCTTTGATGGTTTTTGGATTGCAAAAGCTGACATCACCATTCTATGTAGGCAGTCGCCTATTGATTTGTATTTACGTGCGGTGACACCTTCTTGAAAACCCCCGTGTCCATCTACGTTGATTGCTCCTGATTTCAAACAATCCTGGAGCTTTATCAAGGATTGCCGAAAATCTTCCAATCGCATCATCAGTCTGTGAGGATCTGGTAGGCTCTCATGCTCCAATACAAGTTTGTTTTCCCCCACTGGCCCATACTGGGGCCAGTACTGGGGCCCATACTGGCCTGATGTCAAGTCAATCAACATGTTTGAGGTGAAATGGTTCTTCCAACTCTTGGCCTCCACCCTAGACATTCGGCACGCGCACCCCATGGGTGCCGGCGCTGGCACTGCCGCTTGGCATGTGGAAGACGACCTGGACGACGAGGCACTGCGGACGTTTCTCGCGGAGGATGTGGCTCGTGCAGAGCGACTGCTGGAGATAGCCGCCCGGGCAGAACGGCTGATGCGACTTGGAAGCGAAGAGGGGAAAAGACAGCAGTTGATGGCGGTGACAGACAGTTTCTAAACCTTAATAGATTTTAAGAGTCAAGGATTCTTAGATAGCGATGGCATCCTGCAGTATCCCTCCCAAGTGAGGCCTTTCGCCGGACAGAACCGTGGAGTCCGCGGCCGGGCGGATTCTGCACGGTGCCCTCTGAGGCCTAGCACGAGGGCGACGCGTGGCGCGTCGCAGCGGTTGAGCATCCACGGCATGGACGGCTCGACCTTTTGGCTCGCCGTGGACGACGTGGCCACCGTGGCATGGCGCCAGGGTGGAGATGGAGGGGGTGCGATCAAGACACCAGTGGAGCTTGGCTCTAAGGGGAAAAATGGGCCGAGAAATCACAGGGAGGATGTGTTTCTCAAGTGCTTGGTGTCTTTCGGGTGTTCCAACTCCTTTCATTAATGTAATGTAAAATGACTGGAAGCAGAGCAGAGGTCTGTAACTGACTCAGCACATCAGGTGGAAGATCTATCTAACCTCATCGCGGTGAAAGCGAGGGTGAAAGCAGGTGGAAGGCTGGTGCTCACGTCCGGAGGCGAATGGCGGAACGGCCAAGGGTGCGGTACCCGGGGTGCGGTACCCGGGGTGCGGTACGGGGAGTCACCAGTGAATCAATCCGGGAGTCCCCAGTGATCAAGGGATCTCAAGGGTAGACTTTCCTTGAGCATGTGATCGAACGCCCGGAACTCGATTTACAGACAAGGCGGAACTCGATCCGACAGGCCATGTCTTGGAGCACGCCCAGCCGCTGCTGCAACAGCTTTCGGGCAACGAAGTCACCTACGTGGCGCGGCAAGTGTCTGCCGGCGAAGCGGCCGCGAGCTTCGCCGTGAGCTTGCAGCGAGCGATGGTGGAAGAGAATGGCATCGCCTCGTTGAGCTCGGTGGATCAGAATGCCATAGATGCCATCGTCTCGTTGACCTTGGACACGGCCCAGAAGCCGTGGAGATTGGACCAACTTCCACTGCCCAGAAGCCTGGAGATCTTGACCTTTAGGCACTTCAACAGGAGCTTGAAAGGTGTGGCTTTACCCAGCACCCTACTGGAGTTGACCTTGGGCGACAAGTTCAACCAAAGCTTGGATGGTGTCGCCTTACCAAGCAACTTGCAAACTTTGACCTTTGGTGACGAGTTCAACCAGAGCTTGGATGGTGTCAAGCTGCCAGACAGCCTGCGGAATCTAACCTTTGGTGACGAGTTCAACCAGGGCTTACAAGATGTCACGCTGCCAGGCAAATTGCATACATTAATCTTCGGCCAGAAGTTCAACGGGGGCTTGCAAGGTGCGCTGCCAAGCAGTTTGCAAACATTGATCTTTGGTCAAGAGTTTGACCAGGACTTGCGAGGTGTGACTTTGCCAAGCAGCCTGCAGACTTTAATCTTAGGCTACAAATTTAACCGAAGCTTGGAATGTGTCACACTACCAGAAGGCCTGCAGACTTTGACCCTTGGCTCCTTGTTTGACAAGGGCTTGGAAGGTGTCATGCTGCCAAGGAGCCTTCAAAACTTGACGATCATGGATGGTGTCAACTTGACGGTCAGCAGCTTGCAAACTTTGACACTCGGCAGGTTGGATACAAACTCGGAATGCGCTACACTGCCACAAAGCCTACAGACTTTGAATTTTGGCTTCAATTTCAAGCAGAGTGTAGAAAGCATGAGTTTGCCAAGTAACCTAGAGATTTTGACCTTTGGCGATGAGTTTAATCAGAGCTTGGAAGCTCTTACGCTGCCAAATTGCTTAAAGACTTTGATCTTCGGCTGTGCCTTCAACCAGGGCTTGGAGCGGGTGGAGCTGCCGAACAGCCTTCAGACTCTAACCTTCGGCAAGTTCTTTGATCAGAGCTTAGCAGGTGTCACATTGCCAGGCAGCCTTCAAACTTTGACCTTCGGCCACAAGTTTAACCAGAGCTTGGATGGTATTACGCTCCCAAGCGCCCTTCAGACCTTAACCTTCGGCCATTGTTTCGACAACAGCTTGCTCGGTGTGGTTCTGCCGCCAAGCAGCCTGCAGACTTTGAACTTTGGCTACTTGTTTAATCAGAGCTTGGATGGCGTTAACCTACCAAACAGCCTGCAGACACTTGTTTTTGGCAATCAGTTCAACCGGAGCTTAGAAGGTGTCACGCTGCCATGCAGCCTGCAGACTTTGACTTTCGGATATATGTTTAACCAACGCCTGGAGCAAGTCACGTTGCCAAGCAGCCTACAGACATTGAACTTCGGCTACTTGTTTGACCAGAGCTTAGAGAATGTTGCACTTCCAAGCAGCTTGCAGACTTTGAACTTTGGCTACATGTTCAACCAGAGCTTGGAATGTGTGGAGTTGCCACCCAGTTTGCTGACTTTGAATTTTGGCTATTTGTTTGACAAGAGCTTAGACAGCGCCAGGCTGCCAAGCAGCCTTCAGACACTGAACTTTGGGTACATGTTCAACCAGAGCTTGGAAACAGTCACGTTGCCAAGCAGCCTGCAGACTTTGAACTTCGGCTATCAGTTTAACCAGAGCCTAGAGAGTGTCAAGCTGCCAAGCAGCCTGCAGTCTGTGACCTTGAGTTTCAAATTCAACCAGAAGCTGGCACTGCCAAGCAGTTTGCAGCACCTTTGCTCGAAGCATTTTGAGCTGCGTGTCCACGGGTCCTGATGGCCACGAAAAGAACTGCAGCCTTGAGGACCTGATAAGACCTTGCCATGGTCATTGTTTTCTTGAAACCTTCCGATTTCCGCCGATGCCGTACAAACATGACAAGCAAATGTCGAAGGGCGGAGATTGTACCATTTTGTTCGGACCAAAGCAATAAAAGATCCTGAAGCACTCGGTCCTCTCGTCCCCTTAGTCGTTCACTTCGATGCCTGGATTCCGGAATCGGTGCGGACGGTGCAGCATCTGTGCGGAGCAGTCGCTTCGCCGCTTCGGAAAGTGGGAGCTACGCTTCCAGGACAGCGAACATGGAAGTGGATGATGGCAGGGCACGATTTCATGGTCATCCTTTTTGGGGGCCATGCCATCCACTTCCATGATTGCTTCAGGGAGTGTAGGACATTGTAGGACTGTTTCTTTTGGCATTGTTGCTGGGATTTTCCATGGGAGCGATGGTTTTGAAGAGGGGTCTCAAATTTGGCCGTGATAACTTTTCGGGTTGGGATGATGACTCCAGTCAATACTGCCGAGAAAAACGAGGAGTGGACAACTCAAAAGAGTCTATATCTATGCATGCACTCCACTTAAGATGTCTAAGTGCTCCATGTTGTTGATTTCTCGCTGCAGGTGCTGCTAGTGAATGGCCCTGGCACTTGCTTCCCCGTGTGGGTCTCAGACGCATTTCAGTTTGCGAGTACTGCCGATGCGATGTGATTAGAGGTGGTTAAATAGTGAAGCTAGTAGGTTGGAGGCCATCGCAAGTAGGGAGGCCATCATGCGTCACGTGACCAAAGAGTTTTGGGGATATCCTCGAGCTCAGAGCCTTCCTATAGTCACTCACCAATATCCATTATTCGCACTCGGAACATGCAGGACTGGCATATCTGGCGATTGTAGTTGTATGGTGTTTTGCAAGTTTCACCCATCCTGAAGCTCAAAACCATCAAGGACGGCTCATGGCACTGTCCGGTCGCGTCACATCCGGAGGTGGTGGCCGCCGTGCTTCTCTTCGAGCTCATCGCCTTCCGGCGGGTGTCGCTGATCTTTGTCGGGACCCGCAGGTGTCGCAGGTGTCGCCGTGCAGGTTGTGATCGCAGGTGTCGCTGGAGCCATGGTGCTTGGAGTGGAAGATCTTCCGGTGGATTTCTCAGGTGTTTGAAGATGTTTGAAGTGTTGGGATGCTCTCGTTTCAGACGATGGCAAAGCTCCAAACAATATAAAGTGCATAACAGGCTCTATATGTTTACCCCGACAGGATGATGCAGCATGGATATTGCCTTTTTTCCGTTGCACCATTCACCCAAAGTACTGTCCAAATACTACCCAAATGATCCCCAACCTCCAGGAATATTGCAAACCTCCAGGAATTCGACCAAAATCTCATCCTCCCCCACAAACCTTTCGCTTGATCGGACCAGGTCGAAAGTGTTTGCCGGGTTAAGAGCTTGTGGCTTGGCACCGTGCTGTTTCACCGTGCGCTGATGGGCAGGGCGCATGGATCCTTTTCACGAAACATGTGGTGTTTTTGTTGCAAGGATGATGATCGGCGCCTCTTCCACTGTTCTAAAATGTTCTAAAGATAAGACTGGACAGCTCATTTGTGTGAAACCTCAGCCGAGGCAGAAAAGTGCAGCTAGGACATTTTACCACTTGGGAGGAGGCTCCTACAGCTCCTCACCCAAAGCCAGAGAACATTCTCGGTCGTTTTTTCACAATGAATGCATTTATCAAGGGCAAGTTGAAAGGAACCAGAGGCCTTTGCACCAGGCATGGACTTTGAATTGTGAGAGGCACATCACTTGCATGTGGAATAACCTTGTCAGGTGAGCATCCAGTGAATTTGTGGGCACATGACGCCTTTACCAATGTTGCGTTTTGCTGGCTATTGTAACAAGATATGAATTTCGTGAATTTGTAGCCTAGGCAGCCTATTGTACAAGTAATATGGGCCCCGGTCTATTTTCCTTCTGAAAGCGCAATACCTTTGCCTTTCAACTTTTCTTCAACGAGATCCATCCCCAACCGCCCCAGCGATGCTAGCGCCGCTTTTCTCCACCATCCCCTACAGGTCATGTGAAGCATGGGGTTATCAGGATCCAGCTCCCATCATTAAGCCTCTAGAACATGAAACTGAGCTGACCGGAGAAAAGGTGTGTTTTGTTACATTGTACTTGTATTAATTTTATCTGACTCATTGCCTGCACATATGAATAGTACAGGACTGCCTTCTTCATGGTCCCTTTCAATCAGGGACCGACGCACAGGTCCATGAGTGGCAAGCTGATCTATCCCTTTGCGGATGCCTTCCTGGTGCATTGGCCTGAGCTCGTTGAAAGGTGCCCGAACTGTCGGTGGTTGTGTTTGCTCAATCCTTCTTCAAAGGGCCCTTCAGGCAACACTCAGCCAAGACTTAAGATCTTGTTCTGAACCCTCATATTAGAGAATAACTAAAGAATTACGCTGCTAACCTGGCTTGGTATGTTCAAGCTCTCATCTCCTTGAGCGGGACAAACGATCAATGACGATTTATTTATTCTTTTTTGTGAAGGTATGCGAAAGCGCAATATCTGGGCATATTATTTTGAAGGAAAACAATAATACATAGAAAATCAATATTATTTATTAAATAAAACATAGATGTATAATATTAAATATTGAATATTAATAATATATTAAATAGTTAATTTCTTAATATAGGTAATAGAAATTCGACGAAAAGGTTAATTCAGGATATTATAAAATTGATTGGGGAAAATAATATATGTAGCCGAGAAAATATTACGAAGGAATTATAAAATATATTTTAAAAAATAATTGGATATATGAATATTTTTATTTTAGAATGGGAGTGTTTGAATTCTTATATAAATTAATTCTTTATATAAAAATTGTGTTTTATGATGAATTTGTATGTTGTAGTGATTTAAATATTTCGCTTTGAAATATTGAATAAATATTATTAATTATTATTATTTGATGGGGATGATTTTTGATAATGGAATTTTGTTTGGATTTGAATTATATTGAATTTATTTTAATATGAAATTTATTTAAATTATATTATGAAAAAAAAAAAAAAAAAAAAAAAATTATTTATTATTATATTATAAAGATTTTTTTTAAATGATAATTAATTTGAAATGAAACGTATTTTTTGGGAATAATAATTATATTCGGCAAAGATTATTTTGGATTAAATTATTAATATGAATAAAAAAATATATCGATATATATGGAGAAATTTAAGAACAAATATAAATATACAAAAAACTATATATAAAATGTTTGATGATTAAAGATATAAAGTTAGGGATTGAATTGAATATTTTTTAGCATGATTTTAATTTGATTTGGAATGAATATTTAATGATTGTTATTATTAATGAGAAAATAGCGGTGGTTGCCGAAGAACACCGTGTTAAAGCGTGGATTAATACGAATACGAACCAATGCGAGCGAATTGGATAGATGCCGAAGCGTCCGCGCCCGTTAGCCTTTTCTAGTTGCATGAGCCCATCTTGCGGATGGGTAACCTTAGTCGTGTGAACCTGACATGGTTGCATAGCGTGCAAATTGACACCGGTGGTGGGATCTCTAGTATACCAATGCTTATATAGCATGGTGCTACGCGGTCATGTCTGGCCGCAAATTTGAAAAAATCCAAAGGGGACCGCGAGTCGCCACAGAATGAACAGCGACGCAGGGTCAGGAGATTTCTGCCGGGAATCTGGCGCACCGACTGGCATCCATCATCATTCCAGCAAGTTCTTCTAACCTTCGAAGCCATTAATGGCTTGTTCTGCGGGCAGGAGTCCATGTGGTCGTTGACCTCTCGCTCCAAGCGCTTCAGGATGTCCTTAGCGGACCTCAGGAGGGAGAACAAGTGTTGGCGTTCTCCATACAGGGAATCTCGTTCCTGCACATTCAGATCGATGGCCTGTCTGGCCTCTCTGGCGGCGGCAGCAGCAAGTTCGGCAGAGCGTTGTCGCTCCTCAGCCAGCTGAGCACGAAGGCGCTGGGGAACAATCGCCTTATCCTTTTGGGAAGCAGCTTCGGATGTTGCCGGTGGCGGTGTTAGCAACTTCGAACCATTCCAGCTGCGGCCACTAAAATAGCCGCACGTGAAGATGAGCACAAAAAGAAGCAATTGCGTGAAAACCAGTGCATAGAAAAACCAATTGCCATCTTCACTTGCGGTCACTGAGGGTGGTGCCTGAACTTTCTCGCAGCTGTCTTCGACTGCGCAAACCTTCATCATCCAGAGCCATAGTGCCCACATTAGGACATTCTTTGAGCGACTCGGGATGTCATACTTCCGGCGGACCACGACATGGCTTCAGACGAACACATACAAAAGGGCGTGCTCGGTGAGTGCCATGTTGACATGCTCAGTGGGGTCACCTACCTTATTCTCAAGAACCTCTTCGGAACCAGGGAGGTAGTCGTCTAGTAGGTCTTAGTGCCAGACTTTCGTAGGGCCGGAGGAGGTGGTTTCCTGTAGCGCAGTGATCTTCTCCGATTGTATCTTCTTCTTCATGGCTTTATACTCCGGGTCCCAGGTGAGCTTCAACTTGTGATGCTTGAGGCGTAGTGCCATCAGGCCTCGAGCAGCCTCTTTGGTGAGGCCATCAACAATCTGGCGATCCGAGCTCACCCATTTCAAAACTCCTCCGAGATCTTGAAGTCGCTCCTTCATCACTCGAATCTCGAGTGAGACTCTCTTGTCGACCACCGAAGATGAAGTCCCTTCTCGATGGTACGAGTCGTAGAGCGCCTTGGCGTCGGTGATCATCACCGGTTTGAGCGTGGACGTCACCTTGAGCAAGTCTTTCAAGGGGAGGTCTGGCTGCAGCATGTGATGCCAGTACCTGCAAACAAAATCCACAGCATCGCTGGCCTGACCACCAGCTTGAGCCTCGGCTCCCAGTGAGGACCGTGAGACCCTCGGGGTCTTGAAGGATCGCCAGTCGATGACATGGTAGTCGCCCTCTTCCGGCGAAGTCATCAGCTGCTCGTTGATGAGCATGAGGATATAGCCACCCTGAGAGGAACCATCAGCGCGAGCTGAGAAACCAGCATCGAAGAATCAGATCATCCTCAGCTAATCGCTTGTGCCAATGTGGTTGTAACACAGGCCAACATCTTTATGTTCCTTGGCGAACTTGAGCAGCTTGTTGCAGTCCATGATGGTCTGAAGCGTGCCGTGGTTCACATGGGCAGCCAGTTGAGAGGTGCTGCACTGTAAATGCGGTGAAGTCTGAACCGCTGGCCACTGAAGGCTGCCAAGTAGGCCACGAAGTTGGGTGACTTCCTTTTCCTTGAGGCTCTCATGAGGGCCACGCTTCTTGTCGTAGGTGATGGGGCAGACTTTCTCAAAGTACTTCGTTTGATGAAGTTTGCGGCCTCCAGACTCAGTCTTCTCGATCTCGCAGCCACAGTACTCAAGAACTGGCTCCTCCTCCTTCCATTCTCGAAATGAGAAATGCTCTTTGAACTGGGCCGTCACAGCCTGGTACCTGGGACTCAGTGGACATCCAGCTCCAAGGAGGTCGTCAACGTGCATGATGATGATGCCCACTAGACAATGCGTGCCAAGAGAGCTTGTCTGCTCATGAACAGGATCTGAAGCCTGGTAGTTCTCATCGTCGGTCTCGTAGACCAAGAAGGCACAGAGGTCCAAGGCATGTTGCCTGAGTCCAAGGCGACGGAGTCGTTCAATCGCCTCAAGGTACCAGCCACGTGGAGCATCAATCTGACCATAGCAGGGCTTGAGCAAAAGCATCCTCGTGTTCTCGTCTCCTCCAAGGAGTTCGAGTGCTTCAGAGGGAAGCTTGACCCAGAGCTTTCTGTCTTGGCTGCGGCCTTGAAGGAAGGCCGTGCTCACGTCGGCGGTCCACATTCGCCAACTCATAGTGGCAGCCAGGGAAAGCACCATGGAGCGTGACAGCCGGGTGGTTGTAGGGCTCGATGTCTCGACTTGGCCTGCAAGGGCGTCAGGATCAGCAAAGCCCCTGACGATCAAGCGGGCCTTCGCCCGTGGTGTTCCGTCAGGATTCTTGGACCACTTCAGGAGGATCGGGCTTGTCAGAGTCCGGGCAGGATCTGCTTCCTTCGTCGTCTCAAAGACCCAGACGTGGTGGTCAAAGAAATTCTTGAGCTCCTTCACTTTGGCCTCCTTGAACATGGCCCTTTCATGTGGTCCCAGATGGCGCTCATTGATGCCATCCTTGTCTTTCTTGAACTTCTTCTGCCGAGTGAGTTTCTGCTCCTTGCCCTGTTGCTTGGCACTGGTGTTGTGCTGTCGGCCCGGACCACTATACATCGCCATCTCCTTTCTGGTAATGCCATTGATCTGAAAGATCGTAGCCCCAGTCCATGAGGAAGTGGTATCCGGAGGGGCAGAACTGTCAAGACCTGAGTCAGTGTAGAGTCGACCCTTACCGCCAGCTTGGTGCACCAAAGTCACTCGCACACAATCCAGCTGCTCTCGATCGATTGGGCAGTCTTTGGGAAGTTGATGAAGATGCAGGCGGCCTCGACGAGGTACGACGTGATGTCGGATCAAGCAACCGGCCTTGACTTCCCAATAGTCAGTGGTGCGATCGGTGAGCTGCAGATAGCCATGTTCATCCATGACCCAGCCACTGGGAAGCATCTTTGTGTCAATGTCTTCCAGGAAGTAGGCCTGACCAGCCTTGTCCTCAGTGGACGGTGGAGTTGGTGCAGGTGCCAGAGGATATGGTGCAACATCAGTTCGTGCATGATGGCGCACAGGTGCAAAGCTCATGGTCTCCTGCCTGTTGAGGCGCAGGCGACGCTGT